GACACTGTCTATGCTGTGACTTTTCTGCACACTAGAACATTGAAGATTGGTAGATATAAGGTCAATAGAGATAAGAAATAGCTTTTGCTTAACACATAACGAAATTTAGGAAGATTGATGAGGAACCCTTTTCCATACGAAATTAAAAGATTATGTTTTGGAAGATAGAAAAAGGGCCACAAATTGTGGAGAATAATTGCTGAATTTGCCTTATAACTATTTTCAAAGCAGTTGATGTAACTAAGATCGAGAAGCATGCTTTGTTGAGAATGATAATTACTATGATATTAAATTGTAGAAGCATATACATCAAATGGATTTGAATAGTGTCGAAGGAAAATAGGAAATAATTCGTTACGATGAGCAGAATGATATATGGCTGTGGGTCGTTAAATATAAGCCGATAACCCACTAGAGCTAAATGCCCTCTCAGCTCTGGTTGTTATCTTCCTCTCAAAATTGCACACTTTCTATGCAACCAAGCGTCTTTCACCGGGCATTTGGCTCTGGTGTATTCTCCATAAAGTAGACAAATTGTATATTATTTTGAAGTTCTTGAAACGTACAAATAGACCGCAACATTCAATTTTTGGTGTGGGTAAATAAAATAAGAAATACTGTCTTTTTTGCTTTTTGGTCAAGTCAAAGTTCTTAATTTGTTATTTTTTGATTTGACAGGAAATCTTTGCCGCAGTAAGTCTGACAAGTGCGCAACTTTCTGTTCTCGTAACCAGCAAACTATTTCAATGCACGAAAAAACCTAAAACTATTCTTTTTATGACTTTTTTAAGATTTAGTGCGGCCAGGCGATCCCAATTTTGAGATCATTCCGCTAGCAACATTGCATAGTAAAGCGTAGACAACTGCGCAACTTTCAGAAATTATGAATTTAGGGGAAGAATTTGAAGGAAACGTGCAAAAATGACTTTTTCAAAGTTGTTTTTTAATTCAAATATAAGAGAATGATTCTACTTTCAGTCTCCTCAGTGCTTGACTTTAACGTTAAAGATCACTACCTGTATCTCACGTAACCACTTTCGTAATCCCATAAATCTCTTTGTTTTTCTCCGCGTTTTCCCCATTTCCCGCTCTTGGTTGGTCGTAAAGAAAAAAATATGAACAATTAACGCACAGTTCAAGATTAAAATGATCCCCTTGGGAATTAAGTAGCATCAAACACGCTGAATCATCAATCATGCATCATCAATATTGTTTACAAGTTCATTTTTATGTAAAAAGAAAATTCTGGCCGCTCAATTTGTTAGAGGTATATGCACGAAGGAAGGGAAACGAAGAAAATGTATAGAGATTGCTTAAAGAAAAATGTCATTTTTGCTACATTTTCCATTGATTATTGTTTGGAAAAAACAGTGTTTCCATTGCTTGTCGTGTTGAACCAAAAATTTGCTTATTTCCTCTCATCAGCTACCATACCATGTCAAAAACCACTATCACTTTTTGCAAGGTTTCTGAGTTAAAATCACTATCACTTCTGTCTTCTTATTTCTGAAGTATCGAACCTATGTATGCTTGTGAATATAATGAATGCCTGGTTCCAGTCATTTCATTTGTTATGATTTCTTTTAAAGTTTAAAGAGAGAATATAAATCTTAATGTGCCGTTCAGAATATGCTAATATCAACTCTCCGTTTTCTTTTATTCTGATCCGTGGGACCTGAAGCGTAGCAGGTGCTATGCGTACGATATGCGGTCTAAGGATGGCATTGAATGGAGTTGGAAATGTTACCTCTGTGGTTAGCGGGGAGGGGATATGAAGTAGCATCAAGCAGCTACAGTACCTCTATAAGGTCATGTATAACTGTTACACTATTAGGTAAAGCATTGATGTCCCGGTAACGATTTACAAAACCCGCGAGAAACTTAGAATTTTATGATTGACTCCCAAGATGGTGTGCTTCAAAATTCATTCAACGAGATTTGTTCGCTGCAGGCATATATTAGGTATGGTCTCCCAATGCTCACATTTCAGGAACTTTTTGAAGAGACTGGGCTATTAATCGGTCAAAAGGAGTCAGCTGCAACATCGAAAGAACTCGAAGAGTTGCAAGAGAGAACGAAAAATAACCCAGAGCTTTTCAAGCTTGTTCGTAGAATTTTAGACTGGATAAATTAACTAAATATCAACAGTTAATTGGCAAATTTAGGCTTGTCCTGCTCCATCGGTCAATGAGTTGATAGAATGGAATACTTGGCTTACACCTTCAACATATAAACAGCGTTACATGACGTCCTTCTTCCTTGTTCAAATGGAAGGTTGTTTTTTTAAATTTTATAGTAAAGCAGTTGAAGTAAACGAACACAAGATATCTGAAATATATAGTAAATATTAGTAGTATACACTAGTATACAATAGTATAATGCGACAGAGTGGTCTGCCACGTGAAATGGTCAATGCAATATACTACGCAAATCCACAAAATTTATTCCTAGGCAGCCATTTTGCGAAAACCATTCCGAGCTAAAAACAACCGCTCTGCAGCTGTAGCAGCGTTGTGATTCTCCTGAATATATAGAAAGCTTTTACAAACAATTGCCATCAAAAACCAGCGCGTAAACTTCAGTGGGTAACTCGGTCCCCCATATCTACAACAAAAACGACTAAGTTGTATGAAAATTAGATACAAAAGAATATAATGCTTGAAGAATCAGCAACATCTTTTTCTACACATTATTACTAAGTTCAAAGTCTTTCACATACTCTAAATGTTGGATGGAAAAACAACTAATTATTTTATCGGCACAATGCATCGATTTTAAGTATAAATAAAGAAATGTGTGGAGTGATTTATAATATTGATGACATATGTTTGGGGGAACTATTGATTAAATTGTTGAAGATAAAATAGATCTACAGTGATTGAAGAATAGATAATTCACACTATTATATTTGCAAAATGAGGAAACCTAGAATTTCTCGGAAGAGTCAGAGCGTGATTTAGAGAAAAATCCAAATGGAAAAGAAATTTACTTTAAAAATTCGTGGTCTCAAAAAATCGTCGATTTTCTGCTGCAGTACAACGTGAGCAACGCCAACATCAGTGACAAGTATCTGACTGATGTCATTTTAGGTGAACCGGAGGTTCGAATGTGCGAAAAAGAAATGTCTCATTATTCTTGGAGTGATCCGAAGGATTGCTTGCAAAGAGCATTAGTAGGCGAAGTGATATTACCACCACCACAGGTGTACGAATTGACGAGGATTGCTCAGGTTAGTTGCAAACTAGTTACTGTATTAACTAAGCGTAGAGGTCAACGTGGCAAAGTCTCATTATGTTTTTAAGACACCGTTGGAGAAGGTACACTTGCACGGTAACACTGCTCATATCTTCTGTCCACAGTTAATCTACTGGCCAGATGGAAACAAAATCACTAATGTGTTACCCGGTGATCACCTGTATATAGGTAGTTTGGGCAATTACTTTGAACATGAATGCTATTTCAAGCAAATTCAAAATTGCTTTGTGATTTCAATTAGCTTTTTAGATGAAGATAGTTTCAATCAGCCGGCTCGAGAACTACCTGTGGAAGAGGTTCAGATCAAATCACATGAACCCACACATCGGCAGGAATACAAGTCTAAACCTTTGTATGCGTTCTGCAAAGTATTTATGTACAATCTTCCAGAAAAATACAGCAATACCCTTCATCAGTTTGAAACCAACCCTAGTAAATTATAGCCGCTGTGTCCTGTAAAGGAGATCCACAGATGACCTAGTTGAATCCTTGTTTTTACCCTTCTTTTATTGTAGCTTGCACTAGGCATTTGTAATTCTTTTCTTTTTATTGTTCAAAAACAATCCTTCTTCATGTTGCTATTTTCTAAGTAAGGAACTTTCTACCAAATTTTCTACTTTTACGCAGCTTTGAAAAGTTCAACGCTTTCTTCCATTGTTTATGGCTTTTTTCTTGCTCCAAAATTTTGAGTTTAACTTTACTAGGTATTCCCAAAATTACAATTAGGCGCTTACTATAGCGACTATGAATTCAACAACCACTAAAGAATTTGTTGAAATATTACTGATTCATCGATTTTTCTTGCTCTGAATTACAGAAAATTGGTGAATTTTTTACTTGCTGATTACAAATATGTTTTTCACTATCATAATATCTACACTTCTCGTTGATTTAGTTGATATTTTTATTGATTTTGATTTTAGTTTTTCGAATTTTTCGCTCATAGCTGCTGCCAATCAGTGTCAAGATGTATGTTAACATGCCAAACAAGAGTAAATTATTTGCCTAAATTTGTTGAAGCATAATTTTTATGCTAGGATCTCCCAACTTGAACTTTGCCTTTCCCAGTTCAATTTAAAACCTAGAA